GAACTGCGTGATCCTGGAAAGAGTCTCTGGCCTGGGAAATACTTAGTTTTCCTCCTCCCTTTCTTTTTTTTTTTTTTTCCCTCTTCTCCCAGAGATGTCTAGACGAAGGAGCAGCGTTTATCTCCTGTGAACAGCACTGAGCATTACTGTAAGGGCATGGAAAGCTTTTCCTCCAGCCATCCTGTCATCATGGTAGCATCTCGTTCAGGCTGTGAAATCCCTCCTTGAGCCTGCATCCCATAGTCTTCTTTCTCTTGCTGCAGTCAGTATTGTTAGTGCTGTTTGCAGACCGGAGTACAGCGGTGTCTGGGAGCACCCGGCAGTGGCCTGGTTGTGCCAGGCGCTGTCTGAGGCAGCATCACTGGGCGATTGGGTTTGCTGGTAGGTGGGACAGGGCTGCACCTTGCCGGGCAGCCCTCTGCCTCCGCCGGTGGCGCCTGCCTGTGTTTGGGGGAAGGTGGTGGGGGTGCGCAGGCACCATGTCCGTCCTGCAAACGGGAAGGGACAGAATGTCTCTGCTGGCTGCAGTGTGCCTGGGCGTGGGGCTGAGCCTGTCCACCGGCATGACCTTGCTTCCACTCTTCTTCCCTTCCTTCTACGGGTAGAAGAAGAAAAACGAACAAGCAAGCAAAGACCAGGGAAACTAGTGGAAAACCCAAAATGTACCAAACAGCCAGGTTTTAGGTCATCTCTGATATCTCCAACATACCTGTGTCCAGCCTGCATGCTCATTTGTGGTTATTTTTTTCATTTCCCTGTACTTCTTTTTTAATTTTTCCAGAAACTGAGGTGTGCATACCAACCACAAAGAAACCTTGACTCAAAGAAAGAGTTGAGCCAGATTTTCATATCCCTGTCAGCCATGGAGAATACCAGGTGTTCAAACACAGATAAGCACCCAGCACACGCCCTTTCCAGTACCCCATCTGGAAACCCCAGCCCCTGCGGTGTGTGCAGAGTCCTGCAAATGCTGATCTGAAAGGTTCCTTCATGTCCTATGATTTACCTCTCTGGGGATGTCAACAGAAAACCCACAGTCAGAAATAACTTAATGCTTCTCCTTCCATCAGCCAGGTCTAACAGAGGACAAAGGAAATGTTCTTCTATATTCTGTTGCAGAGCGTCTAAGCTATAAAATGGGGCCAAATGGCCTCCCCCTGAGCACAAATAACAACAGGAGAAAGATCCATATGCAATCGAGTGTAGGATAAATGTGCTTAGCTGATCGTTCGTTTCCCTAATATTTTTTTTATGAATAGGCTTAACTTATGGTAAGATGGGACTTTATGGTCCTGTAAGTCTTGCTCGTGTCAAAACAAATGAACTAGCCATCCTATGGGGGAACTATCAATCCAATATATGTGTGTGTATGGGTGTGGGGAGTCAGACCTATTATACCTTTAAGAGCAAATTAGATGCTGTTCCTATGATTCATAATGCTATATATCTAATGGCATGACTCGTCATCTAGAAAATAAACGTTTCGAGCCAGTTTCTCATCTCATAAATTTCCCCTCTGGCACTGAAGGACATAAACTAAATGGGCTGACTCACAGGGAAACAATACAATTTGGATACTTTTAAATGAAAGATAAAATTGCCTCAGGGCACAGAGGGGCGTTGAGGTCCTGGGGAGTGGTTGGCAAGCACAGGACGGCGCGTCGGGGGCTGCTCTGCCACCGCCAGCAGGAAGGGCTGCTCCTGGGAAGCCCTTCACGCTTGCAGAGCCTGTTGGGTTTTCCCAGCTTGGTAGCTTGGTGTGACCACCATGGCGAAGCATCCGAGGTGGAGGTGGTCGTGTTGGAGATGATCTTGTTGTATGTGCTGTCTCCCGGCAGGGAGGAGAGTTGCACATTTCCAAGCATGGCAGCAGGGAAGGACGGGAGATGTGGAGGTGCCTGCTCCAAGACAGGAGGGGAAGGTGATCCTTAGCCACCACAGACCGGGGAGGTCCCTGTGCATTCCCACCTGCAGCTCTCCTGAAGACTGCAGCTGCCCGTGGGATGGGTCTCGGCTCCTTTTCTACATCCTTTGTCCATTGCTCTTGGTTTTCCTGTGCCGTTGGGCTCCTGGTGTGGGTGGCAGCTGCTGTTCCCCTGGCTTTGTGTGAGCAGACCCGTACCTCCCAGGCTATGCTGTCAGAAGGAGAAAGGGAAGGAGAGGTTTCCACCTGGTTGCCATGTGCCGGCAGCGTGCCTTTGGGGCTGGGCTGGTGAAAGCTACTGCCTTTGCGGGGGAGGGCGGCAGGCAGAGCCTGGAGCAGGCTGGGAGAGGTGAGGGAAGGAAGGGTGGGCTGTGTGGGAGCTACAGCAAAAGCTGTACCTGGCTTCAGGGCTGGGAGGACCACAGAGTCCTCAAAGCTCACAGAGACCCTCCATTTGTCCTCAAGTTTCTGCAGAGCAACTGCATGTCCCCACAGAGCAGGCCGGTGTCCCCGTGGAGGGTGTAGAGCCTCCTAAAGTGATGGTAAACATCTTCACGTGGGGAGCTTCATCCCTTCTTTCTGCACAATCTTACCCATTTCCCCCCATCAGTTTGCTCTTGCCACTTCCCCATCCTTCAACATGCACTCCACACCGCCGATGGGAAAATCCTGGAAACCGCTGGCTTGAAATCCCACTGGAAAGTGAGGGAAAGTGAGTCCTAGCTGCCTGGCCACCCCAGCCTGGCCCTGACGTCAGCTGGCTGCTGGCAATC